GACCTTGGGGCCTGTGCCAGCTCCAGCTCTGAGCAGACCCTGGCAGGCTCGAGGACACGGGCCCTGCACCCACATGGGCAACGCCACGGGAGCGCCCGGCTTCAGGTCGGACAGGCGCAGCTCTGCCTGTCGCCACTGCTTGGGGAGTGAACCAGCAGGTGGATCTTTCTCTGTCTCTCTGTTACTTTGCCTTTCAAACACATAGGTTTGAACACATTTCAAGAACAAGCAATAAATAAGGGGGCATCATGCTAACAGCCACCGTGAGTCCTACTGTGTGCCCAAGAGCACCAGGGATGCCATGTCTGTGTTGCCAAGGCCTCGGGCACCCGCAGGCTCCAGTGGCTAAGTGTACCCAGGGCACGTGGTTCCTGCATGGGGTCGCGGCCCTGTGCTGACCGGGCACCCTTCTGCTGGGCCTGGAGGTGGCCTCGGGATCTTGGCAACACCTCTCTGGCTGCTTCTTCCTGTCCCCCTCGTCGTGCCCTGGTCCCCTATGTTGGCGTGGAGGTCAGGTGACCTCGCCCAGGCACTGCCCTTTGGGATCCCTGGTGGGTGGACGAGGCCCAGGGACTCGCAGCTCTGGGCCGGGCTACTGGCAGAAGGCTGGGGAGCACTGGGTGGTGTGTGCCACTCCGCTCTGTTCTCTGCTTGTGCACGGGGCCTGGGCTCCCCTGAGGCCTTCCTGTGCACACCGGGGCAACCCCAGCACAGCCTCCAAGTCCTGGGGGCAAAGGCACGTGGGTGTGGGTTGCTGGGACGACTGTCTCCACGTGAGGGCTGCTCCGGCACCGCCCAGGCCCTCGCTGATCCCCACTCTGAGGCCGCTGCTGCCTCTGCGGACTGTCCATGTCACTGGTCCACGTGTGCGAGGAGGATGCGGCTGAACCCCACCGCGGGGAACAGAGACAGCTCTCGAGGAACAGCAGGCAGGCCGGTTCTCATCTGAGACCAAAGCAGCCACCAGCAGCAACAGCCGGCAGCTGGGCAGTGGCCATGAGTGACCCAGGAGGGAAGCAGGGGGCTTGGAAGGCTGCAGCAGTGTGAGCACAAGCCCTCTCCCAGACAGGGTGGGGGCAGGCCGCGGAGGGATGCCGGCTCACGCCCTGCTCCGTGCTGCTGACCGACGCCCCGCGACACCTGAGACCCTCGACCTCAGAGCTTCCCTGTGCGCACATGGTGTGCCCTCAGCTCCCCTCCTCCTGGAGCTCAAGCCACCAGGCCAGAGCTGGGGCGGCCAGGGCACGGCTGGCTGGCACCTTGCTAAGCCTCTGCCTGACACCCTCGGCTTCGTGGAGCGAAGGGGCCGGCTGGAGGCCACTGCTTGCCTCCTGGCAGTGCACCGAGCCCAGGCCGGCCCTCTTAAGCCAGGGGTCCCGGTCAGCCACTGTGGCCACAGGGTTCGCAAGCCTGAGGGAGCCACCGCTCTGGATGTGGCCACTGGGACCCTGATGGACAACTTCAGGGGACTCTGTCCCTCTAAGTGCTTGGGGCTCAGGAAGGTTGAGCTGCCTCATTTTCTGCTTTTTTCCCCCTCCTTTGGATCTTGAAAAGAACTTGAACTCGGGCACCCCAGGTATCACCAGATTCTTCCTGGATCCCTGGGCACGGGGCCTGACCCTCTCATGCCCCCGTGTGCCCGCCTCCAGGTCGAGGCCATCGGAAACGAGCTGGCCTAGGACCGCTCACATGCACGGTGCGGGAAGCAGCCCTGGCTGCCAGCTCACTCAGCGTGCGTTTTTTTGCTCTGTGAAAATGCACCGTTTCTCTTTCTCCTCCTCCTCCCACCTCTGTGCTTTTCAGCTTTCAGTCCTGTACCGACTGGTGGGGGCAGGCTCTGCCCAGGGCTGCGACTTCAGGCCTCAAGGCTCCTGCGTGACAGAGGTGCCCACGGAGCCGGGAACTGGGCCTAGCTCACAGTGCCCCATGTCTGTCTGAGCTAGCAACTTTGTCTTGGTTTCCCTGGCAGTGCTAACGTGAGGACCACAGGGCCTGGAATGTGGAAGCAGAACCCCTCTTCCTGTCCATCAGAAGGGACGGGAAGTGCTGCCTCGTGGCAAGGAGTTGGAAGCTCCACTCGGGCCCGTGTCCTGGCCCAGCTGCTGACGGCTCAGGGCAGTGGTGTGGGACATTCTGCCCCAGAAAGGGCCGGGTGGGCAATGAGATGGCAGACGCTGTGCGAATGTCACCCAGCCGGTCCTTCTGCCTGCCCTGGCCACACTTCCCCAACGGCGAGCGGAGACGCCCAAGACCAGCCACGTGGACTCCGGGGCCAAGCACAAGGCAGTCGCTCCACAAAGCTGGCAGGGAAACAGCATACACCCACGACACCCTGTGCCCACTTTCAGAATGGCAGAGGCGCGTTCAGGACGCCCTGTGGCAGGGGTGTACCGCTAACCCCGAGACGCCAACTTCAGACCCAAAGGAAAGAGCATCACACACACTCAGCAAGCTCGGGTGGCAGAGCGGGGTCCCCGGGCCCTCATTGCTGCCCCCTGCTCTCCTGCCATCCCCCCCGGCCCTCCGGCTCCTGTGTGGGCCAGGGACCCCGCTTCAAGGCGGGCCCCTCCCCAAAGCTTTCTCAGCTTCCAAGGCGGGATTCATGGCACCATGCCCCTCCACACCCTGTGCAGATGGTCCCCTCTGTACCACCACAAAGGCAGGAGGTGAGCACACAGCAAGGGTGTGCCAGGTACTGCCAGCTGGGCCCCTCTGGAGCGCCCCCTCCGACCAGCACCCAGCGGGAGCGATGCACAAGGGCACTTGGGCCAAGTCCTCACCCTCGGAGCCTTCCCTGCCGTCACACAGCACCCACTGCTGGCTGCATGGAAGGCAGTCCTGGGCGGGAAGGCCCACCTCTCCTGGCCTGGGCGGGAAGGCCCACCTCTCCCTGGGCCGGGGAGGCGCCAGCTCGTTGGCAGCTGTGATTCTGTCACTCTTTCCGCCTCCCAGGGTCACAGAATGTTGAAGTGTCCCTCTGGTGACAAGTGCAGGGGCACCCACAGCTTCCGGTCGGTGCTTCTCTGTGAGCGGGCTGGCAGGAACCCAGAGGGCCTGGCCGGGTACCCCACGTGTCTGCCTGGATCCCACAAGCCATGTTGACTCAGCCCACATAAAGCCAGCCTGTCCCCCTCATTCCAAGCCAGGGACACAGCGGCTCTGGGCTCCTGGTCTGTGGGCACCCCGGGAGGAACCCAATTGCAGGGTGAGGGTGGGAAGGCAGGTGCCAGGGAGCGCCGGCCCTTGCTCTCCACCCGACACCTGGCCATGCTCCACTTAGGGATGGAAGTCACAGCTGCCCAGCCCTGAATCCACACCCACTCCCCACCCACGCTCCATCTCTGAGGCCACTGTTAAAACGGGGAGCCACTCCCCGGCATGTTCACAGCCATGAAATGGTGGTGGGGTGGGTGGGTTGGAACCAGCCAGCCTCTGCCACAGTCGAAGATAAAGGTCCCCACACCAGGTCCTGCAAGTCGGCCAGGGAGAGCAGGGGCGCAGTGGGGAGTGAGCACCTCCCGTCTGAGATGGAGGTCACTGAGAGATGCCCCCAGCTCCCAGAAAGAAACCTCCCAGGCAAAGGAGGAAAACAAGCTCCCTCCCACTCGCTGGAGCTGTCCAGGGTCCTGAAGGCAGGTGGTGCTGGACCAGGAGGCTGGAGCCAACGATCAGGGCTCAGCCACCCACTGCCCCGCAACGCCACCCCACAGCGAGGGGGCTTCCGCCTGAAGCTGGATATCCTCCCCAGTAAGGGGGTCTTTGGGAAAACATAAAAGGGAGGAGAAGCATCATGTACCTGCAGTGGGGGGCTTGGGGTGTCCAGAAGTAAGGAGGTCACCAGGGCTTGTGTGGTCCTCGGACCTAGGGACTTCTAGGGCCATCCTCTGCCAACACGCTCAGGTTTGGCTGCACACAGGGCTGTTGGCAGCTGCTCGGGACCCGCTCTGTCCTTCCCCGCACGTGTGTGCATGTGTGTGCTTGCATGTGTCTATCCACAACACAGCGGCCAGATCTGGTGGGGGTGGGGCCAAGAAAACTTCCCTCCAGGAGGCCACGCAGGACCTCTGCTGGGCCACGGGCGAGGGCGGACAGGGGCCGGCAGGGACGCGTGGAGCGGCAGTGCCCTGTCGGGCTGGGAGTGGGTACGAGTTCTGAGTGTGCACGCGTGTGCCAGAGTCCTCCTGTGTCTGCCTCCTGTTCTCCCCTTTCTGCTTTGTCTTAGGGAGGAAGGGCGAGAGGGAGGAGGCGACCACGGCCCGGGCTGCTGGGGCCAAGGTGCCCGCACCCACTGGCTTCAGACTGGTGACTCGGAGAGCCAGTCTCCCAGCCCAGAGCGTGGCACTGTGGCAAAGGGCATTTTAATGTCACTCCCAAGCAGCCCGAGCCTGGCACACTCCCACCCACCAGCTGGGTGCCCGGCCGCCCAGCGTCCACACACAGCCCCTCCTCCTTCTCCACCCAGACCTGCGGCTCCAAGATGCATTTTAAAATGGAGAACATCGACCACATGGACCACCACGGACGTGTTCCGTGCTGAGACAATGCTCGCAGGAGGCAAGCCCTCTGGGAGTGCCTGGCTGCCACGCGCCGCCCGCCGGGCACAGCAGCGGCCACAGCCCCCAACCCCCTTCCCAAGAAGCCCCCCACGCCATCTGTCCCCCAGGCCTGGGGGTTCCAGAAGCCCCAAAGAGAGGGCTGGGCCACAGCAGGGGTGTGTAGGGGAGGAGGAGTAAGAACCCGGACCCCCAAAACGCCATCCCGCAGGACAATAGCTGCCCGAGGCAGCCCTTTGAACTTCTCATCAGGGAGAGGGGGAGGGCCCTGCTACGGGGCGTCCCGCCTGCCTGGCCAGGGCTGGGGTTCCAGCCTCCCCCTCCCTCCCTCCGGCCCCCTCCCCAACCCCCTGGGGGTGGGGCTCGGGCGCACGCTCCCCTACTTCGCGGGGTCCCTCGGCCGGACCGGCGCCTGGCAGGGAGGAAAATGGCGTTGGATGCACCTACTTGGGTGAGTTCGGTGCCCATCAGGATGAGGAAGAGGAGGCTGAGCAGCTTCCGGGCCGGTGGCATGTCTCCCGGCCACCTCCGACGTCCTGGCGTGCGGGCCCTGGGTGCTGCCGGCCGGCGGCTGCGTGGATGCGGACGCGCTCCCGGCTCGGCCCGGCTCGCGTTCCCCGCGTTCGGCTCAGCACCCGGAGCAGGCGGCGCGCGGGCTCTGCTGCGAGGAGCCTCCGCTCTGCATATTTATCGCGTCCCGGTTCCGGAGCGGCTGCCTCCCGGGCTGGGCAGGGGCTGGGCTGGGCTGGGCTAGGCGGGGGCTGCGCCCTCCTCTCCCCGCGCGCACGGCTCGGCGGAGGGAGGCGCGCCCTGCGGCGCACGAACGCGCGCTCGGCAGCGGCGGCGCTGGGTGCCAAAAGTTTGCAGGCGAAGGGCGGGCGCGGGGGTGGCGCAGAGGGACCCGCGCGCCTGGACCGCGCGGGGAGGGGGCGGCGGCCAGCAGGGAGGCAGGCAGGCCCGGACAGGATGTGACATCAACAAGGCGGGGAAAATTGAACTGGGACAGAAACTTCATCCTGGGCAAAGGAAGGACAGAGGGCTCCAGGACTGCGGAGTTGGGGCCAGGGTACAAAAGCTGAGGTCTCCAAGAGGGTGGGAAGACGTGGGGGAACCGGTCCTTGGTGGTTCCGGTCGTGTAGTGGCTCCGGGCCAGGAATAGAGCTGAGGCGAGAAGCCACGTTTGCCTGGGCGTCCAGTGGGGCTGGGTCCATCCCAGGCTGGCAGTAGATGAGGTGTGTCCCTGTGTCCAGGGGTGTGTGGGTCTGCACTGTGCCCAGGTCCCTGGCCCTCTGCCAGTCCTAGACGCCCTGCCTGGGCCTGGAGCCTGGGTTGGGCTCCAGATTGGGGCTGGAAGGGGCCGTGGGCATTCAGAGCTGGGCTTGCCCTTCTGCCCTGGCAGGTACTAAAACTAATGCGGGGCGGGGAGAAGGCACGTTTTCCACCTAAATTCTCCACTTTTGGGCACCCATGTTCTCGGAGGGATGGTTACCAGTGCTCAGCTGTCTGCTGATGCTCAGCGTTTCCACTTGGGAAATTTAACTCTTGTTCAAAACAGTGTGACGGCAGGGGGCTGCGTGATGTGCTCCCACCCTCCTGGGCCCCCCAAGGGGCCTGGAGCTGGACCTGGTGGGCACGGGGAGGGGAGGCTGGCTTGCCCAGGCCCACCTGCCACTCCCTGCCCTCTCCGCAGCCGTGGGGCGTTCTTGGGTGCTGGGCGTGAGCACCTTGGTAAGGGAAGATGGAGGTGGTGGTGGGGGCGGGGCAGCCTTCGTCCCCAGCAGGCAGAGCTCTGGGCCAGGACCTTCCCCAGTGACTGCGGCAGCCGAAGCTGGGACAGTGTGAAGCCAGGAGCCAGAAGCTTCCTCGGTGTCTCCCACAGGGTGCAGGGGTCCAAGCCCCTGAGCCGTCCTCCACTGCTTTCCCAGCTGTGTGAGCAGGGAGCTGGGTGGGAGACTGAGCAGCCGGGCCTTGAACCAGCGCTCACAGGGCATGTTGGTGAGTCTCGTGCTGACTCGGAGGGATGACTCCACGCAGGGTTCACGCAGGCATGGGCTCGGACATGTCACGGAGGCAGGAGAGCTCTGGAGCCATCCGCAAGCTGGCACCCACCACCCAGGACCTCCCGATCAGTCCCCACGGTCAGAGCGGGCTGTGGAAGGAGCCGAGTTCCTGGGTGGACTGGCCGCCGCCGTCCAGTTTTAACATGATTTGTTTTTGTCGTTCAGGTTATGTAACCATATGGCCCAGAAAGTCTCTGTCTGGGTGTCTCCTGGGAACTGCAGAGCCAGGGACAGGCGGAGATCACCATGCACCTGTGCGGGAACTGGGAGTGGGGTGGCTGGGGGGAGGGACCACTCGGGGGAGGAGTGGTCCAGGAGGAAGGACTGACCAGGGGTAGAGGCCAGCCTGGGGGAAGGGTAGCCCAGAGGGAGGGGTGACCATGGGGGAGGGGCTGAACAGGGAGAAGGGCAACCCAGGGGGCGGCCATGGGGCACGGAGCCCAGCGGGCGGCCATGGGGCACGGAGCCTAGGGGGAGGCCATGGGGCACGGAACCCAGGGGCCTCCAGGAGAGCAGGCTGGGGACCTGCAGCCCTGGGCACTTGGTGCTCACTGGGGCTGGGCAGGGGTTGATGGGGGGCCGGGAGCAGACCCAGCTGCAAGGTGATGCTTGAGTGCTGAACAGCCTTGGGGGCAGAGCACGCCAAGCGCATACAGGACACTGATGGAAACTGATGCCCGGGCTGGGGGCGAAACGCAGTCAGAACTGGGGCTGGCATCGCGGTGTGCCAGTCTAAGCCTCCGCCCATGGTGCCGGCATCCTATATGGGCTCCAGTTTGTGTCCTGGCTGCTCTACTTTCCCTCCAGCTCCCAGCTTATGGCCTGGGAAAAAGCAGAGGATGGTTTGGGTCCTTGGGACCCTGCACCAGCATGGGAGACCAGGAAGAAGCTCCTGGCTCCTGGCTTTGGATCAGCTCGGCTCCAGCCATTGCAGCCACTTGGGGAGTGAACCAGTGGATGGGAGAGCTCTCTCCGCTTTTCTCTTTGTGTTTCTCTCTGTGACTCTTTAAAATAGACAACTCAGAAGGAAAAGAGAAAGAAAGAAAGAAGGAAGGACCAAGCTAATTTGAGTAATAAGAGCCGGTGCCGAGAGCAGCAGGTGGACCTGGCGCCAGGCGGGCATGTGGCTTGAGGAAGCATAGTGGCAAAGTGCCATGCAGGCTGGAGCCTCCAAGGTCAAGTGGGCCAGACTGAGTCCAGCTCTCCCCTGGGGAGCCGCCAGCAGGCACGCTCCTGCCTGCCGCTCACCTCCAGAGGATGGCTGGTGGCGGCCCTTCCTCGGTGCCCGGCCAAGGGTGAGGGACTTGGGACCTTGGCTCCCAGGGCTTTGTGGGCAAGTGGCCACACCTGGAGGCCAGCAGGAACAGAGGCGAACACTTGCTCTGAGACTGCAGCAATGTTGCGCCCCAGGCTCCCCGAGCGAGTGTGGGTGCCCCTGGTAGGTCCAGGCCCGTGGGTGCCGAGGCCCTTGCGGAAGGTGGCGTGGTGTTTGTGTGTGAGTGCTGTGTGCAGTCGGGGAGAAGCCGTGTTGGCAGCTGCTGTGCCATCGTGTCAGGCAATAACCAGGGAAAAGCCTGTCTGGTCGTGGGCCGTTATGCCCTCCCCGCTCTAACCTGCTGCAGGGATGTGGCACGCACAGGCCCAGGGCGGGCGCCACGGTCTGAGTCTAGAGAAGGAATGCTGGTGTCCCCGAGCAGCTGCTGTGCCCCTGTCACCGCGTGGACAGGCTCCCGTCTGCAGGGCTGGTCCTCGTCCGTGTCTGCCTGTGTGGACCACCTGCTGCATGGAGAGGCTGGGCAGGGCCAGGTACCTCCTCTTCAGAGTTTACATTGCTTGCATTCACTTCTTAAACTTTTTATTTAAATGTAGAGCTACAGAAAGGAGCGACAGAAATCTTCCGTCTGCTGGTTCACTCCCCAAATGGTCACAGTAGGTGGAGCTGAGCCAGTCCGAAGGCAGGAGCCTCTTCCAAGTCTCCCACGTGGGTGCAGGGTCTCAAGGACCCGAGCCGTGCTCCACTGCTTTCCTGGATGCGTTGGCAAGGAGCTGGGTGGGAACCCGGGCAGCTGAGACTGACGCCCATATAGGATGCCGTTGCTTCAGGTGGAGGCTTAGCCTGTTGCACCGCGAGGTCAGCCCTTCTTGCACTAACTTTACCTTAATGGAGTTGGAGAGTTTGTTCCTGGATGTCCTGCCCGCCCACTGGTTCCTCCCTGCTGGGTCGTGTGGTGCCTACTTGTATGCAGGGTGGCCACAGCCCCCGACACCCCCATGCAGGGCGGCCACAGCCCCCGACACCCCCATGCAGGGTGGCCACAGCTGCTGGACACCACCACACCAGGTGGCCGCAGCCTCTCCCTGACACCACCTCGCAGAGCGGCTGCAGCCCCTCAACACCACCATGCCAGGTGGCTGCAGCCCCTCAACACCCCCATGCAGGGTGGCCACAGCTGCTGGACACCGCCAGGCTAGGTAGCCGCAGCCCCCCAACACCACCTTGCAGGGCGGCCACAGCCCCTCCCTGACACTGTCACAGCTTGTGGCCTCACTTTGCATCTCCAGCTTCCTAGCCTGCAGGTGGAGACAGGAAGAGACCCTGAGGCCCACGGCTACCCTGGGCCAGCCACGTGTCCCCCACCCCCGACATGTCTCTGGACGGAACAGGAGCCCAGAGCTCTCTCCTGCCGAGACCACTCCTTGGAACCAGCAAATCGATGAGCTCCATGTTCCTTTAAACAAGCCTGCTCCTCCCGCGGGGCCTCATTACAAGGTGACAGCGTTGCCAAGGCAACAGCACTGCCTCTCCCCATCCTCTGAAAATGTCCTGGAAAATGGGGCTTGGAGCCCTGATGGTGCTGTGCCTACATGGACCCCACACGGTGCTGGCCCACCTGGAGCCCACACGGTGCTGTGCCCACCTGGAGCCCACACGGTGCTGGCCCACCTGGAGCCCACACTCTGCTGTGCCCACCTGGACCCCACACTCTGCTGTGCCCACCTGGAGCCCACACGGTGCTGGCCCACCTGGAGCCCACACGGTGCTGGCCCACCTGGACCCCACACTCTGCTGTGCCCACCTGGACCCCACATGGAGCTGTGCCCACCTGGAGCCCACACGGTGCTGTGCCCACCTGGACCCCACACGGTGCTGGCCCACCTGGAGCCCACACGGTGCTGTGCCCACCTGGACCCCACACGGTGCTGGCCTACCTGGAGCCCACACGGTGCTGGCCCACCTGGAGCCCACACGGTGCTGTGCCCACCTGGACCCACACGGTGCTGGCCCACCTGGACCCCACACGGGCACTGTGCTGGGTGCCTTCAGGTGCCCAGGGGAGCTGGCCCGTAGACAGCACTCCTTCCCTCTGCCCTGGGAGCCCATGTCCCCGCCCCCTTCCTGGGCTGGTCCTCCTCGTCCACCTGGATCCAGTGACAGGTACTTGTCATGTACCTGCTGGGAACAGGTGCCGTGCGCAGACTGCCATCCACACGGCTCCCTGAGCTGACACCAGAGGGGGGGTCCTGCAGTGGCCAGCGTGGCCTTCCTCATCCCAGGTGGCTTCTCACGGTCTGGGATCAGGAGGGGTGGGTCGGCAGGGCCGTGTGCCTTTGGATGCTTCCGGAAAGATCCCTTCCTGCCGCCCGGGCTTCTGGGGTGTTCCCCGGCGGGGGCTGCTCCCTGGCGGGGGCCGCGTGCCCATCCTGAGCTGTGCCTAGAGCCCCCCAGCCCAGCCTCCCCTCTGTCCCTGGGGCCTGCCCGGCTCCCTGCCCGTCCCTTACGGTGGGGAGGAAGCCTCCTGAGGATTGGCCAGGTGTGGCGGGGGTGACCCCGGGCCTCCG